TCATAACAAATCAGTCGGAACAATATTTTTTAGCCAAGTTTCAGACCAGCGAACGGGGCCATGGCCACTTGACTCAAGTGTACGCAATGGACAAAACCTAATACCTAGACCAGTAGACTATCTCATATTACTTCCTCTATCTATAAAAGAATATAGCTATAAAATTTATACGAATCAAACTAGCTTAACTTAATTTATACATTTATCCTAAAATGTTGCTAGTAGTTTTTACATAACTATAGTCAGACTTTAAATCGTTTGACTTTTAAAAAAACGGAAATTACATCTTTTTGGTGGACGGGGTGGGTATAAATGTATAATGCTAGTGGTACATGAACAGTACAGTTCGCTGGACATCACACGTTGTAATTCGCTAAAAGAAGAATTACTAACGTCTACTATTCAGAACTGATCTCGCTTCCTCTGCGGTTAGTTAGTTTTTCCTGCAGCTGAGTCGCTAGCAATGCAAATAGTAACAAGTCTGATTTTTTTGTGAAACAGTAACAAGTCTGATTGTGATCGGGCTCACTCCTGTGACTCAAACTGCAGGCAGAAAAGCCTCAACCCATCCAGGTAGCTAAGCTAACCAAACCAAAGGTAGCCAAACTTGCGCTTTGCTTGCGCAGTGGAGAGAGGAATATAACTCTAGGATAGCAGTAGCCTAGAAAAGGCCAAAAGAGGGAGGGGAGTGGGAATGGCGTGAGCCGTAAGCGAAGCCGAAAGCTTCGCCATCTCCACAGTCCACTCCACTACAGTGTCCAGGGACCAGGGCAGGGCCGTCTCCGTCTGCATGCATGCGCCCCGGCTCGATCGGCTGTCAAGCAGGGTCGCGCCTGCAGCCCGATCGCGATCAGTTTGCTCCAGCCGGGCCGGGCTGGATGGTACCGCGCGTGCCGCGCCCATGCGCCGCCGCCCCGCCGCGCGCCGAGACGTGCCACTTGGTGGGCAATGCCATGCAGATGCAGCTCGAGGTCGACCGCTCTCCACCGGCCCGGCGGCGCCCCGTCGCTTTGCGTGCGCGCTGTTCCGCGCGGAAGAGGACGTGCGCGCCTCGGCTCGACGGGCCACGGCACCGGCGCGCCCACCGACCGATCGTCGTGCCCCGCCGATATACGGAAACAAGGCCCCATGACAAACCGAAGCTGCCAAACCATGCATGCAAGCTGCGTGCGATGCCCATGCGCATGCACCGCACCGCGCTTTATTTACACGCGTGCCCGAGTGGCGTCACGTACTGTACACACACGTGCTCATCACACACACATCAGCACCAACAGGCAGCACGGCGCACGTACCACCAGACCAGAATGGCAAGGTAGGCCTACCGCTGTCCCAGCTCTTCCCTGCTGCTTTTCCCTTTGTTTCTTTGACTTTGCCGACCGACCAACGACCCAGATGAGCTCGCTACGCTACTGCTGCCCACCTAAAATTCTGCATCGCTCATAAAATTCTGCATATGCATGGTGCATGCAGAGGTTCCATGTCACAGTGCCCAGACAGGCCTGTACGAGTACTGCATCTGCTTCTACAGCGATGGAGTCGTACCGGACCTGCCGTGCCGTTCCGTCCACATCAACGTCAGCAATTAGTATTCGTTCAAAGAAAACATGATTTTAAGTATAGCATCTTGAGTTTGACTATTTTTTTTAAAAAAATGTATCAATATTTATGATGTAAATAAGTGGAGATAGATTTATTGTTACATATATTTTTTTTATAAATACTGTAAATTTATGCTATAAGTTTTAATATTATGGTCTATAAATTGGTCAAACTAGTAAAACAAGAATCGTTGGCTTTTATTTCACTAGTTATAGCAGGCTTTTACTCCTAACTAATAATTACTCAATTTCTATGTATAATACCATTATATTCACACTAAAAGCTAGTAGTTATTTAGGATTAAACTTCTATACCATCACAAAATAAGCATATAATAAAATAATCATTAGTACCTTTCTAAAAATAACTATATTGGCAAAAGGTTTGTCGTAACATAACGAAATAAAATACATCTTACATTAGTAGAAAGAGAGTTATTTGGCTAGCAATCTAATCACTAACTGCCATTTTTTTCTTCTTTACTTTACTGTCTTGTGCAGTACTAAACCACAGTCTAAGGGATGCTTAAGGATATGTTTGGTTTCCTACAACTAATACTATTATCCGAAGACCTTTTTAGATCCTCCATTAATAAGCTCAACCCCCTCTTTAATCTATCATCCAGCTAGCATTGGCTATTAGTTGAGGATGTGTTTACATCCTCAGCTAATAAACCTAACTAATGTCTTACCTATCATCCAGCAAGCAATTAGCTACTACCTGAGGATCTATTGAAATCCTTAGCAAATAAACTCAACTAATGGTTTACCTATCATCTAGCTAGCAACTGATCTTTTTTTCTAGCTAACACAACTAATAGTTAGCAGGTGGATTAAAAGGGTCTTAAATAACTATTATCTATCATAATTGAGAGTTTTCACGTACACTATCTCCATCTAGGAAAAAGCAAATAAAACTACTCATCCCTCAGTCCCAGAAAGAAGATCGTTATGGGATACGTGCAGGTCAAACTTTCTTAATTTTGACTAGATTTATAGAAAATGTGTGCAACATTTATTCTCCAAATAATTTTATTATGAAAGTATATGCAACAATCTATCTAATGATACTAATTATTTATTATAAATATTAATATTCTTTTATATATAATTGGTAAAAGTTCAAAGAATTGACTTCTCGGTAAGCGAGAATGACTTCTATTTTGGCATAGAGGGAGTACTGCCGAATGAAATTATTGTAACTCTTTTTAATAGAAATTATAGAAACCCCAATATTTATATAATATATATATATATATATATAGGTATCAGTAGATTCATCATGAGTATATTTTTATAGTATATCTGTTTTGTTTATTATAAACTTTAATAATCTATTGTATAATTTTTTTAAAATTTTAATTATTTCGACTAGATAGAATTATATCTTTTTCATGTACTACCCTTCGGCTGACCCAGATTCTGGTTTATTTGGTTTCTTTTTTTTAATTGAAATAGTATTTTTTTTCTTTCAACAAATCAATACTCCGGATTAATTGAGATGATGAAAAACTGCGGTGTAGTACTGGCACCCCTGTCGCCGTCGCCTTAACTCCACCTCTGTCACTCTCCCAATCCAAACTCCAAACAATCGCCCAACACTGCGGTCTGCGGCAGCCAGGAGCATTTATTATTTTCAGGCGGGAGTAAATAGAAAATGAGAGGTAAGACGATAGACCCTTAATTCTAAGGATCTATTTGGCAGGGCTCCTGTGGCTCCAGCTCCCGCCCCTGTTGGCCGCCCACGGTCCGATAGGTGCTAGGCGGAGCCGGAGCCGCGGAGCCCGAAAAACGAGCTCCGCCGGCTCCGCCTGGGTTTGTGAGAGGAGTAAAGAGGAGAGAGAAAAACGGCTCCGGCTTCCTGTCGGCCCGTGGGCGACCGACAGGGGCCGGAAGCGGGAACCGGACCCACAGGAGCTCTGCCAAACAGGTCCTAAAGGTTTTAGATTGAGCGGAATTAAAACCAAATACATGAGATATAATTTTGGTGGAGTTATACAGAAGGAGGGAGATGTGAGTTTGGAAGGTCAAGTAGTGTACCTTTTGGTATCTGGGATCGATGCTACAGAGGGATGGAGATATTGATGCGGACGTTAGCCATAGAATCAAAGCAGGGTGGATCAAGTGACGACAAGCTTCTGTCATTCTCTGTGACAAGAGGGTACCACAAAAGCTAAAAGGCAAGTTTTATAGAATGACGATTAGACCGGCTATGTTGTATGGAGCAGAATGTTGGTCTACAAAGATTCGACATGTTTAACAACTGAGTGTTGCAAAAAATACGCATGTTGCGATAGATTTGCGGTCACATAAGAATGCACCGAGTTCGGAACGATGATATAAGTGATCGTCTAGAGGTAGCATCAATTGAAGAAAAATTTATCCAACATCGGTTGAGATGGTTTGGCCATATCCAAAGGAGACCTCTAGAGGCACCAGTGCATTGTGGAGTCCTAAGCCAAACTAATAATATAAGTAGAGGTAGAGGAAGACCGAAATTGACCTAGGGGAGACAATAAAAAGATATTTAAAAGCTTGAAATATATTTAAAGATTTATATTTAAATAGGAGTATTTGAAAAACAGCTATTGATGTGTCTAAATCATGACTTAAGGCTTTTTTGGGTTAACTCTAGACTATCCTAATTTACTTGAGACTGAGGCTACGCTGTTGTTGTCGTCGTACACTCCGTTTGATCTGCCCACCCATTTCCTCCACTGGTTTACGCCTGCCGCTTATTGCAGCCGAATCAAACGCACAACTAGCACTGGTGCGCCTACCATGTCCGACTGTCCGTCGATGTCTCGACGAGAGAGAGGGCACGAGAAAGTAGGAGAGAGAGAGGGTGTGTGGAGAGGTACAGAAATAGGATCTCTCTGAATAAAGAAAACGCAAGTAAACAGAGGGAAAGATAAACAAATCCGATCCGCACTGCTGAGCGCATCGGAGTCAAAACCAACCGTCCCTGTCTTTCTTCTGACTTTCCCCACCACTTCTTCCCTGTGATGTCGTCGTCCTCTTTCGGCGCTTCTCAATCCAGCGCAGACCAAGCAGAGCAGGGATGACGAGGTCGCGGAGATCCTCCTCCATGCAGCGCTGCTTGCGCTTCTTTCTCCTCCTCTGAGCCTGCAGCCTGTCCGTCTGGATTTCGCTCGCTTAAAGGCGGAACCTTTCCTCTTCTTGGGAGCTTCTGCGACGACTGCTGCTCTGCTCTCGTCGTCATCTATCGCCGCACCTGTTCTTGGTGTTCGGTCGATGCATGCAGCGGCAGCGTAGCAAGGTGGTGTGAGTGAGCTCCGGCGAGAATTGCCTGCTTCCCTTGCGGCGCTCGCCGTGGTTCATGCCCTGCAGGAAAAGAGCCTCCTTCTCGGATCCCGCCGCCGCCGCCTCTCGCCGGAGATGGGAGGCTCCCGCTGGCTGCTCCACTTCCTGTTCGTCTCCGTCCTGCTCCACGTTGTCCACTCCGGCCGGTCCCTGGAGTCCCAGTCGTGTGACCCCGCCGACCTGAAGGCGCTCCTCGCCTTCTCCGACGCCTTGGACAGCAAGCCCGCCGGGTGGGGCCCCGGCGACGCCTCCTGCTGTTCCTGGACCGGCATCTCCTGCGATCTCGGGCGGGTGGTCGCGCTGGATCTCTCCAACAAGAGCCTCCACGGCGGCATCTCCTCCGCGGTCGCCTCCCTCGACGGCCTAGCCACGCTCAACCTCTCCCGGAACGCGCTCCGTGGCGCCGCGCCGGAGGAGCTGGCCGGGCTGCCGAAGCTGCGGGTGCTCGACCTCAGCGCGAACGCGCTCTCCGGCCCGTTCCCGGCCGCTGCTGCCGTTGCCGGCGGCTTCCCGGCGATCGAGCAGGTCAACATCTCCTTCAACAGCTTCGACGGGCCGCACCCCGCGTTCCCCGCCGCGGCGAACCTGACGGCGCTTGATATCTCCGGCAACATCTTCTCCGGGGGCATCAACTCGTCCGCGCTCTGTCTTGCGCCGCTCGAGGTCCTCCGCTTCTCGGGGAATGCCTTCTCCGGCGAGATACCCAGCGGGTTGAGCCAGTGCACGGCGCTCACGGAGCTCTCTCTCGACGGCAACTGTTTCACGGGGAACATTCCCGGCGACCTGTACACGCTGCCCAACCTGAGGAGGCTGAGCTTACAGGAAAATCAGCTCACCGGCAACCTCGGCAATGACCTTGGTAACCTCTCTCAGATCGTGCAGCTTGATTTGTCCTATAACAAGTTCACAGGCTCCATCCCTGATGTCTTTGGAAAGATGAGGTGGCTAGAGTCCGTAAACTTGGCCACCAATAAGTTGGATGGTGAATTGCCTGCTTCCCTGTCCAGTTGTCCACTGCTGAGGGTAATCAGCCTGAGGAACAACTCGCTGTCTGGTGAGATTGCTATCGACTTCAACTTGCTGCCGAAGCTGAATACTTTTGATATTGGAACCAACAATCTGAGTGGTGTTATACCTCCTGGCATCGCCGTGTGCACCGAGCTGAGGACGCTGAATCTTGCAAGGAACAAGCTCGTGGGGAGATACCAGAGAGCTTCAAGGAGTTGAGATCCCTCGTCGTACCTCTCACTGACAGGGAATAGCTTCACGAACCTCGCATCGGCATTGCAGGTCTTGCAACACCTGCCCAACCTCACAAGCTTGGTGCTCACCAGGAATTTCCGTGGTGGCGAGACAATGCCAGTGGATGGCATCAGTGGGTTCAAGAGCATGCAGGTGCTCGTCCTGGCAAACTGTTTACTGACAGGCGTAATTCCGCCTTGGCTGCAGAGCTTGGGAAGCCTCAATGTGCTGGACATTTCATGGAACAAGTTAAATGGGAATATCCCACCGTGGCTAGGGAAGCTGGACAACCTCTTCTATATTGACCTGTCAAACAATTCTTTCAGTGGTGAGCTTCCTATGAGCTTCACACAGATGAGGAGTTTGATTTCAACTAATGGCTCGAGTGAGCGGTCACCAACAGAGGACCTCCCGTTATTCATCAAGAGGAATTCAACTGGCAAAGGTTTGCAGTACAACCAAGTCAGCAGCTTCCCACCGTCACTTATACTCTCAAACAATCTGCTTGTTGGGCCGATCTTGTCAAGTTTTGGTTATCTTGTGAAGCTTCATGTCCTGGACCTGAGCTGGAACAACTTCTCAGGGTCAATCCCTGACGAGCTGTCAAACATGTCGAGCTTGGAAGTGCTGAATTTGGCCCACAACAATCTCAATGGGACAATACCTTCGTCTCTAACAAAGCTGAATTTTCTCTCCAACTTTGATGTGTCGTACAACAATTTGACCGGAGATATCCCTACCGGTGGGCAATTCTCCACATTCTCACCTGAGGATTTTGATGGTAACCCTACACTCTGCCTTCGGAATTCTTCATGCGTCGCGAAGGATTCATCTGTGGGAGCTGCACACAGTAAGAAAAGGAAAGCCGCCCTTGTTGCCCTTGGACTGGGAACTGCAGTTGGGGTTCTCCTCTTCTTGTTCTGTGCTTTTGTGATCGTGTCAAGGATTGTTCATTCAAGAATGCAGGAGCGCAATCCAAAGGCTGTAGCAAATGCTGAAGACTCCGAGTCTAACTCTTGCCTGGTGCTGCTTTTCCAAAACAACAAAGAATTCAGCATTGAGGACATCTTGAAGTCCACCAACAACTTTGATCAAGCTTATATAGTTGGATGTGGTGGTTTTGGCCTTGTTTACAAGTCGACGCTGCCAGATGGGAGGAGAGTTGCAATCAAAAGGCTTTCAGGTGACTACTCTCAGATCGAACGGGAATTCCAAGCCGAGGTGGAGACACTTTCACGGGCTCAGCATGAAAACCTTGTCTTGCTGCAAGGTTATTGCAAGGTTGGCAATGACAGGCTGTTGATCTACTCATATATGGAGAATGGTAGCTTGGATTACTGGCTTCACGAGAGGGCTGATAGTGGGATGCTGCTGGATTGGCAGAAGAGGCTACGGATTGCACAGGGTTCTGCAAGGGGGCTGGCATACCTGCATATGTCTTGTGATCCCCATATACTGCATCGAGATATCAAATCAAGCAATATCCTTCTAGATGAGAACTTTGAGGCCCATCTGGCCGATTTTGGCTTAGCAAGACTCATCTGCGGATATGAGACACATGTCACAACAGATGTGGTGGGAACCTTGGGGTACATTCCTCCTGAATATGGGCAATCACCAGTGGCGACTTACAAGGGTGACATATACAGCTTTGGCATTGTTCTGCTCGAGCTACTCACTGGTCGGAGGCCTGTGGACATGTGCAGGCCGAAAGGGACCAGGGATGTGGTGTCATGGGTGCTTCAGATGAAGGAGGAGGGCAGGGAAACCGAAGTTTTCCATCCAAGCATACATCACAAGGACAATGAAAGCCAGTTGATGAGAATCCTTGACATAGCGTGCCTTTGTGTGACTGCTGCTCCGAAATCAAGACCAACATCGCAGCAGCTAGTCGCATGGCTCGACAACATCGCAGAGGGCTGAGGTCTACTGCAATCCTAGTTCCCAGTGAATTTAGTTTGCTTGCTTGAGCAGGATCAGCCTGATAGCTTCTTAAGAATGATTAGTTGTGTACATAATATTTTACATAGAGTGATATGCCGTGAGTAATCTTGTCTTGCTCTCTTCTCAAGTAATGATATGAGCATGTTCTTTTACTTCATAAGGTGGTTGCAAGATCACCAGAGTGTAAAAAATGCTTTGTAGGCTTACCCTAATAATCTAGCGTTGATATGAGCAGCTTTCCTACAGGTTTGTGGCATGCCTTGTAACTTCAGTTATTCGTATGGGACAGATTTTGCAGTTGCAGCAATTTTCTTGTATGGTCCATTAACCCTGCATCTCTTCGTGTTCATGCACGTCTTCTTTGAATCTTTATTGTTTTCTAAGCATGTTCCATTAGCACTGCAAATAGTAGCTCTAGAATATTGTTCAATGAGAATGATGAGTTTGTACAGCGAACACTGGCCCAAAAAGTCTACAGAATTGTATCACCTATTGACTTCTTGCGTTTTATTGTTGGGCTTAGGGTGCTGGTGTGTGTTTTGTTTTGTTTCTAGGGAAAGGGCGCTGGTGTGGTTGATGCAGGGAACCAGTGGTGCAAATATGTTTTTTTTCTTTTTCGCTCTGCACTCTACAGGGTTGCATTTGTTTTTCTTTTTCACTCTGCACTCTACAGGGTTGTACTTTTTGCTTGTAGTTTGATGGTCTGATCCTGAGCCTCACCGAGTTGCCTGACGTTCTCTAGCAGAATTACATTCATAAACCACATGTGGAGGCTTGAAGGCACCAGCCAACATGCTCATTATCCCTTTTTAGAAAGAAAATAGTTTGATGGTCTGATCCTGATCCTCATCGAGTTGCCTTACGTTCTCTAGCAAAATAACATTCATAAATACACATGTGAAGGCTTGAAGGCAGCAGCCAACATGCTCATTATCCCCTTTTTTAAAAAGAAAATAAAGGTCGCTTGATCATGATGGCATTGACTAGTAGTATAGTATCATCATCATTCCTCGAATCCATAGGCCCAAAAGCCAGGCCAGGTTTTCTCTTTTTGGCATGGTGCAAGCGGTAGAGTCTTACCGCACTGTGACCGTAAGATCCCGAGTTTGGAGTCGCGGTCTCCTCGCATTGCATAGGCGAGGGTAAGGCTTGCCAACGACACCCTTCTCCAGACCCTGTACAGTATGAGCGAAAGCTCTCTGCACTGGGTACGCCCTTTTTTCTTTAACTTGTGTGACTTAGGAGCTGAAACATGTTTACCTAGAAAAGCACGTGGTTTGGAATAGCAAATAATATTTGTACAGCCAATGACAATAATGAACCAATTGTTTGAAAGAGGAGCTGCTGGTAAGTCGTGGATCCACATAAATAAAATTGAAACATGGGCCTGGTGCACTAGTGAGAATTATCTCACTGAGTCAACCCCCCAGGAGAACATCTTTGGATAATTCAGATTACAAAATTCAATGAACTTCAAAGGAAAAATTTGTTTACAACAATCACATTATTACAGCCCTTGTTTGTAATTCCTAATGTTCATTGGTTTCTTCAGGTGCAGCTCTCTGTCACAAAGGCAAAGCATATCCTATATCACCAAATATAAGAGCAAATCAGGCCAGGAATACAAGATGTAATATCATATGCTGCCATTATATCAAACGGAGTAATTGTGCACACCTAAAGAAAAAACTGAGGCATTTTATTAAGTAAGAAGTACTAGAGTAACTCTGAAAGGCACATCGAATAAATTCATTATTCATCACTGCATACATAAAGATCCCTGTAGATCAATTTTTATTAATAATGCAAGAAACAAAAGGTTATACAAAATCTAAACCACTATGGGAGTCATGCGCCATTTAACACTGACAGCCAATAAATAAAAGAATGAACACACTTACACTGATAATTTGATAGTGGACCAGTTAGTTCACAATCATACACATCCACAGTATCCGAAGTTCGAAAATAGGTTAATAATTTTAAGCCAAAAAGGCTCCCTAATATCATGACTATTAGAAAAAGCTAATGGCTTACTGCTAAAACTGTGGGCAATTGGACATAGGTGTAAAACTAGCTCTGTATATGAACAATCGAGCACAATTGAAACTAATTGTTACTAAACCCAAAATAGAAAGGAAACATGAACTTTGGGAATTTCATCAGGACAGCATGCTATTCATATGTATTCATCAGTCATTTGCTTTGGGGATTGAACTCATAGGTGCAAAGCACAGCTGGAAGGCACACTCGTTTCTAAACTAGGAAGTTCAACTCACATGACTCCTGTATCTCGGTTTATTATAAGGGTATATGGGCGATTTGCAAAAATAGGACTCGAAACATTGGTCGTTTGCAGATTTGAAGACCCACGTTCAGACACAACGAGTACTGTGTAATGAGCTCAGTTGAAGAATTGATTGGTACACTGAGGAATTGATTCGAGAATGGTGGCAAAACGTTATTATGCATAAATTAGCGATCTGACAGGGCTTGGTCCTTTTATTTTCCTCGTTCCGAAAATGCACAATCACACGAAAATGTTGCAAAGCATGCAGCACCAGACAACAGATCAAAATATTTGACAGCAAGCCGTTATCTCCTCAAATGACAACAGCCAGAACAAACGGTTACCTTGTGAGAGCGAGCACCAGCAGGAGGAGTCAACGGCGATGCAGGACCTAAGCCGCGCGGCCGCCACCGCGCTGTGCAGCGGCATGAGCGTCTCCAGCCCCGCTGACGCCGCGGCCGCCGACCTGCACCCAAACCAAACCGCCGACGTGAGCGGATGCGCCGAATCCCCGACGGACCAATCGCCAGGGAATCGGTTGGCTACCTGCGGAGGATTCCGGCGGACCGGGCAGCGGAAGGCGAGGCAAGAGAAGGCAGTGGCGGGCTGAGGACGCGGCTGGTAAGGGGCGCGGAGCGGGCCGCCGATCTCACGGCAACGGCGGCGGCGGCGGTGGTGCGGGACAAAGATGCCATTTCCTCTCCCCCCCTGCCTTCTCGCGTCTGTGTCGAAGCAAAACCTCTTGGAGTTGGAGAGGCTAAACCCTAGACGCTACTTGGTTTGGGCCGACCGGCCTTAATCAGGAAGACTTTCTATGGGCCGGAGGAGAGAGAAATTTGGGTAGCCCATGGATGGATTAGCGAGAGGTGACAACAGATTTGTTCTCTTTAGGGTGGCCCATTGATAGATCGGCGTCGTCGCTGGCCCCCAGAATGGATTTTTTATAACTAAACAAAAAGAATAAAAAACACCTTTCAAACTACCCACACCCAAAAAAATATAGAAAATACTAGCGCCCGGACGTCCGGATATAAACATTTGATCTGGACACTTTCTCTCTACCTATCCCACCCCGGCTCCTTCCCTTTCAGATCTAGAGGCTTCCGTTGCGTTCCTTCCCTTTCAGATCCGGAATCTTTCGCTCTACCCGTCCCACCCCAGCGCTCGTCCCCTTCCAGTTCCCTTCTTTCTCCTGTGGTGCAATAGTAAACCACGTTATTGGTGGTTGCGCTTCCTATAGCGCTTGCAGACACCGCACCTTGCCGTAAGTGAGTGAGAGAGATGGAAAGAGGGTCAAATGGATCATATGTTAATAATTGCTTGCAACATTCAAGAACAAAGGTTTGCAACATACTGAAACCTCATGTAACATAAAAAAACATATTGCAACATCTTAAATCGATAGTTGCAACATTCAAAAGACCATGTTGCGACATCTTAAATCGATCAAGGCAACATTAAAAAACATGTTGCAACATCTCAAATCGAATGTTGCAACATCTTAAATCGATAGTTGCAACATTGAAAGGTCCTTATTTGGTTTTGATAATTGACTGACAACCTAGGTAGACTAATTATGTTTAATGTGAGACACACAGGTAATTAGTCCACAGGTACATGTGTGTGAGCAACATATGGCATGGAGGTGAAAATAGTTCGGAGATGTTGCAAAGCTCACACATGTGATGAAGAAGCTCATTGCATATGAGATATGACATTGAGTCATGTGGCTAAGGTAGAGAAGATCAAGACAAGACTTGGCTCGATGGACCGGTTGCAAGTGTGAAGAGCAAGTTGAGTGATAACTTGGCGCTGATGGACCGAAGCAACGGAGAAGAGCAAGTGAAGTCAAACTCAATGAACCAATACGATCATGTGATGATATGAAGTGGATCATATCCTTTGTGATTGGTTGGTGCATGTGTTGCATCAACATTGGAGAAAATGGAATGGAATGCGCAAGGCAAAGGTATAACCTAGGGCATTTCATTTCACCGGTCAAAGGTTGTGTAGAGAAGTGCATGACCGGATTTAGGATTAGATAGCCGTACTATCAAGAGGGGCAAACTTGTTTGCATATCGGTCATCTAGTGCCACTTGAGTGATCTAACTTTACATCGTTACTTGGATCGAGTGGCGTGTTGAATTGAGTGACTAATCCTTTGAAGAATGATTGTGAAAATGCTAACACACTTGCACGTGATGGTGATACACTTGTGGTGTTGGCACATTTTGCAAAGGAATTGAAGGAGGCGAAGCAGGGGATGAGGTGCTGCCTCTAGGGGCACCGTCCAACCCCTGTCCGGTGCACCGCCACCCCTTTGTTAGTGACCACTTTGCCTCAGCCGAGCAGCCAGTGTTGGCGCTGGCACTGCCAGTGGCGGTGTGCACCACCATGGACACGATGGTGCACCGCCCTGGGCAATCCGGTGCCACCGCCACATTTTCCAGAGGCGAGGGAAAACGGGGTGGGCACCACCACCCCTAGGCGGGGCACCACCCTATTTTTCTAGAGAAGAGGGGTTTTGAGATGTTGGCCGGGGTGGCACCGCCACCCCCTGTCCGGTGCCACTACCGCTTGTCCGATGACCGTTGGAGGGGCACCGTCACCCCTTGTCCGGTGATCGCACAGCCGTGTCCGGTGCCCTCGCAGAAACCAGCAGCTTTGCTCCAACGGCTCTATTTGGCT